TTATTAATTCATGAATTAAATTGTAAGTTTTAAATTTTTTAATTCTAGTATTCTCGCGTTTGTTATATATTTTAAATTTTACTATTCAGTTTTTTCGCATTTTTGTGTTTTTTGCACATATTTTAAAATTTTTTGTGACGTCTGTAAGAAAGCTTAGCTTATTGATCGAGTTCATAGTATAAACGAACATCCTACAATATTACAGGCTAATGGAAAACGGTTGAATTTTAAAAAATTCATCAAAATTTTGAATATATAACAGTATTTCATGAAAATAAGGGCTACTATAGGATAGTTTTTTATAAGCCATTGTAATAAATCGTATCTAAATTACTAAGCATATAATAAAAAACAGCTTGTAATTCAAATAAAAAATGAAAGAAATGCCACATGCATCAGGTGCATAATATTATTATCAATAGTGAAACATTCTGGAAACTCAAATTGAACTCGTTGATTTTGTACTTGTACTATGAGAATTCATCTATGCAAACTCTAATTCACATTGCTAAACTTTGTAAATCTTTGAACTACTTTTAGTATGTATTTGCAAACAGAAACGATTAGTAAACTCGCCTAGAATAACACTAAATGTGCAGTTCGAACACTTGTGAAAATCTCTTGATTAAATCTTGAGAATGTTGAAAATAGATTCAAAATGCTTACTTACTCAACTTTGATTTTTTTTTAAATTTTAATGTATATATATATATATATATATATATACATATATATATGTATATATAATCATATAAAAATGACGAATAAAAAATATAATCATGAAGGCTAACATTACCATCATATCATTCCTATAACATTTCTCATCTTTAATTAATATCTCTTTCTCTAAGAAACGATTCATTCATTCTTCCCAATGGCAGCCAAGTTGAGTCCATTAATATTTTCATAATTTTGTTTTCCCTCCATTTGCCTTTGGGGGGTCTTAAGCAAAATGGCCAAAGAGAGCACATCACTTCAAAGGAAGACTTAGCAAGTGCCCGCGGGCGGTAATTTATTAGAGGTTATTCGAATGTTGGCCCCGCCTCGCCCCCAAATGCGAATAAATGCCGAAATTTTGATGGGCACGACCGAGGAAAGATATCTTTTATGATATTTGATGTAATGGGCAGGTTAGTATTTGAATTTTGAGGATGTGGGTATGAGAGATAAATAGAACTTGGCAAAAACTGAAAAACATAAAAAAATCTTTTCTAAAATATTTACTTATTCAGTGCCTAGGTTACTTTACTAGAAAAATCTATAATAGTACTGGATATCAAAACTAGTTGAAGTAGCAATTTGTCTTAAGGCAAATTACATGAACTTGCCAAAATGTGTAATGACTAATTCGACCAAAATTGAGATTTAGATATTTAGATAAAATTTATTTGGAAAATAAAGTTTTCACACTCAATTAAATCTAAACATTGCGATTTTCAATTTATATCTTTCGAACACATGTAAATTATATGTAATTATATAGTGCACAAACCCTAGTATGTACTACAATTGTCGCTTAAGCCAACATAAACAATATTTCTTTAAAAAAAAAATAATGAAATTTTATATGGCGATAAAGTTCATGTACCAAAATGTGCTAGAATAATTAGTTGAATTATATAGATTAATTGAATTTTGGAATGATTTTACTGATAACATATTTTGTGAAATATTGAACATCTGTAACAAGGAAATTCTGGCACGATTACGTATATCATGTAAGTAGTCTTTGATATTATTTAATAGTCACATTTTTTACACAACTTGAAGTTTTATAATCTGCTTATTAAATGACAAAGAAAAAGGCATTTATTTAGATAATTATTAATAAATTTTTGTGAACAATTAATACATCCATAAACTTGAGATTGCAAGATTTTTGTGAAAACGATTACAAAAAGTACTTTTTTTGCTAATTCTTAAGAAACGGCTTGGCCGATTGTCTCAAAAACTTGCCGCAGCTTCCGAATGCTTTTTAATTTTGTAAAATCGGTTTAACCGTTTTTGAAAAACATTGATAAAGTTAAATTGTTGACTTTTCACATCACAAAAGCGACTTTGGGCACTAATTTTGATTTTAATATTTTTTCAAACTTTGAAGAATTTTTAAAATCAAACCACTTATCGTAATATATTAGTATGTCTCGTATGACCAAAATCTCCATCATCACAGAAAGTTTTATCAAAATTGTCAAAAACAAAAATTAATTTGCAATTAATGTACACGTCCCGGCCAATCTTTACCAAATTTTCCCAACCAATATCTTGCTTACAGTTTTTGAAATTCTAAAATTGATTTCGAATTGCGGGTTAAAACGTGGACTCAAACTTTTTCACTATTTTGCTATTTATAAAGAAACGGATTGGCTGATTGTCGTGCAAAACTGACAGACGCTAGTTCTTATCGAGTTACATTGAATGACATTTAAATTTTTGAAATCGATTCAGCTGTTTTGGAAAAAGTGTCAAGAAAAGGTCAAAAATCGGCTCACACACTCGCTCACACACATACTTTTTCCATATTTGGTAGCAATCGATTCAGAATAACTTGAAACGAGCAGAAAGCATAAAATTAGCAAATGGGATTTTCTTGCAAAAACTAACTTCCTGGGAAAGTTAATGATGAGTAAGTCATCAAAAATTTTATATTCACAAAAATGTTATTTTCCATCATATATATATATTCCAAATCTATTCATCAAATTATTCCAATATTTTACAACACATCTCACTGAAACGAGTTCCATCTAGATAGTCGGCAACAAAAAAAACACACATCATCTAATTTCGTATGCATGAAGTATTCATCCCCGGTTGAATATTGCGTGTAAATATTCCTTGTTACAATGTTGTACAGTATCAAATGGAAGGAGCCAATATCAAGTAAATAGACCAAAGGAACAAAATGAAGATGATCTCTACGTAACACACAAAGTTCAAAACTAAGAAGATGAAAAATTCATTTTATAATAATAAGTTATTTCTTATTGGTAGTGTAAGTGGTTTGCAAACAAATATCAATTTCCATCCAAAATCTATTCCATCTCTGGTCTATTTATTCTCTCATATAAATTTTGTCAAAATTCATAGTCTGAGCTTTTCTAAAAATATGAAAAAACTTTGCCCGCGGCTTAGAATCAAGGCTGAGAGTAAATTATCATGATACAGTCTTCTGTCTGCTGCGGAGATATGTACCCCTTTGTCACATCCATTATAATTTATAACAGTCTAGGACAGGGATTGAGAACATTTATAGATAGAAATTAAATGCTCATCATTTTCCTGAAGGAAAATTAAGTTTTGGCAAAAAAAAACTATTTACTGGTTTTATGTTTTCTTGACGTTTCAAGTCATTCTGATTCGAAAAAAAAACAAATTTTAAAAGAAGTATATTTGTGTGTGTATGTTAGTCGATGTTTGACCTTTTGGCAAGGTTTGCTCAAAAACTGCTGGACCGATTTAGCCAGGCGATGTAACTCGATAAGAACTAGCGCTTATCAGTTTTGTGTGACGATTATCTGAACCGGTTCTTTATAATTTGACCTAGTTGCGCATGGCATTGTGCCGTAAGGCAAATTGCTGAAACTTCCCATACCGAAAATTAAAATTTTTAAAAAATTCTTAAAATTTTTGAAAAAATTGGAAAAATGAGATTTTTAACAATATTTTATTTTCACTTTTTTGAATAATTTTATTTTTTTATATGTTGATTTTTAACTTCCATACCTTCACGTTTCAGAGGTTTCTGAACATTTTGGCTCCCTTAGAAAAAATGGATGTGTGTGTGCGGATACAAATTTTTGTCGACGATTTTATGAACACGGATCATCCGATTTGAATAATTCAAAGAACATTCCATTCCTACTGATAAGGAGACGTGCTGATTAGTTTTTTGGCAAAGGCAGGTCTAGCCGTTTGGAGATACGGGACAAAAGTCCCAAAATGGTATTTATATGGGTTCCAAATGTTTACACGTTAGACGACTACGCGACGCTTACGCGCTTTGATATTTCGAAACCAAATCAGCTATTATGCAGCGCAATTGCTTGAAAAAAAGGTTCAAAATTTTCAAAAAAAAAATCAAAATACAAAAAAAAAATCAAAAAATAAAAAAAACAATTATTTCAAAAAAGTCAATTTCGAAGCGTGTAGGCGCCGCGTTGCAGTCTTACGGACAGACATTGTACCTATCATGTTCTTATTTTTTAAATCTCTAAAATATTTGTCAATTTGATGTGCATATGTCTAATGTTCATTTTGAACAACCAAATGGCATTTTTTACAGAACAAGATCTGCCTTCCCAAAAATTTAGTCTGCTCCTTATTCATGATTACAAATAAAATATTGTTTGAATCATTCAAATCGGACGCTCCGTTACCTCAAAAACTGATTTACCATTTTCTGCATTCTTTGCTCCGTATCTCCAAAACGGCTGGCCTGCCTTTGCCAAAATGTAATCATCACGTCTCCCTATCAATACGAATCGAATGCGTTTTGGTTTAAATTACTTACGATTTATAATTTATTATATTTGCCGATTATTATTATGCGTACAAGTTTCCAGTGAAAAAATCACTCATTTAGCATCTTTTACATGTACTTGATCTTACCTCAGGCTGCATGGATGGTAGCATTTATTCGCAAATTGAACTGGGTCAAATTTTTCATACACACACGCACTTTTTTATGCGAAATTATGCAAAATTTATTCAATTAGCACTCCTGTTTTAATAATTAATTAATTTACGCGAATTTTATTATCCACTACACTCACTTCTATTTTAATAAGTATTTTATTAGACTCAAAAAAATGTGGATTAGTAAGGGGTAGAGTCACAATTTTGCCTACACTAAAAAATATAAATTACATAATAATTTAATTATATAATTAACTAACAACTTCCTAACTATACCCTAGCTTTTGGTTTTTTTGTGAACGCACAACGAGACGTATGTCCGTACCCTTAGAAATCATGCCTAGAAATAAAAATGCACTGACCTTTGACTAAAATCACCGTTTCTTCTGAAGCATCCAGATTACCAATTAGTTGTCTGAAAAACAGAAAAAATTAAGCAATTTTTCAATGTATTATGTAATATCGATTTGTGCTAAAAAATCCGTGTATTACCTTGTGATTTCCAGTAGAGCTGACCAGGAACCAGGTACCGTAAACAAGACACTAACACTGCACTAGAATCTTTATAAAACACTACATAAACATTAAAAAAACGATAAAAAAAAACTCGGATTGAAAAGTAGCTCAAAAATCGACAAAAACAATCACTACCAGTCGACACCGGGCAAATTTTTTGACCACAAGCTAATATTTGACTTTTTAAAAATACTATTCATAATTAATACATCTTGAATGAATTTCATAATGATGTTTTTCTAATCAACAAAAACGTCACCAATTAAGATAAAATATAAAGCTATCAGTTTCTTCTTTAGCACCTCCAGTTTCATGGTTAGTCCTTTAAAGTCTTGCATATGGATGAATATTGATCAATAACAATTTAATGTCAACTAAGTGGTCTTTTTCAATGCAAATTTTTATTTAAATCCATCCTTCTGATTTGTATTTCCAAATGTCTGGATAAATTAGTATCTCAGTCAAATCTCATGGTCAAATATAGTTGCAAAATTTAGTACAACTTTGTTAACACAAATAGAATGGCAATAAGGAAATATCCAGATGTCAAGATAATAACTTAATAAAAAACACACAAATAAAACATTTCTTAGTCCATAAAACGACACAAAAGTCGAATAATATTTATTCAATTTCATTACTTCATTGTCCTTGTATGTTTTTAATAGTTTGTAATAACTTTTTCATGATCATATCATAAATGTATTCTATGATTTTGTATTTTTTACGACTTCACTATTCAACGACCTCTGTTCTGGATTTCTGCTGAAAAGAAATAAATTAATTAAAACAATATTTTATCAAACATATTATATGTATATAGAAAGGCAAAGATATTACTAAAAGCTATACTAAATGCCCATTGAAATATGATTAATAAAACCATTCATAATAACTTCAAAATACCTTTATTTATAAAAATGTCCATATTAGGTTCATAATTTTCAATAATTTTATTACAAAATTAAATTCAGCACCATATTCTTCTTTTAATTATTTTATTTATTTTCTATTTTTTCCACAATTTTATTATTACACTATTTTTGCTATACGAGTCGATTGAAAAGTCGATTGTGCAACAATGTGCACTTGCAGCATAGACCTTATTACTTGCCAAAATATTAGGACGAATCCTATTGGACGAATTAAAACCAGGTGGGAGAGTCTATTATTTATGATAAGGGGAGGACATATACATTGACCTTGAAAAATTGTATGAATTTAACAATTTTAACACATTTGAAGAAATGTTCGGAGTAGATAGACTGAACCAATATTTGCTCCTCATGGGAGGCCATGTCAAAATATTTTAAATTCATATGAAGAAATTGCATGAAGTTTAAAATTATTAAGATTCTTTAGATATATTTAGAATTGATTTAGATTCCTGTATCTTGGACTTGGATAAAATTATTAGCATAGCAAAACGTTACAATTCATCATATATGTCCCGTGTATTATTATAGTTATAGTTGCGAATTAAATTTCTATTAACAGTAATTAGTATTATGTTCTATATAAAATTATTAAAATAGACAAAAATTATTAAAATATTATAATAAAATAGTTTATAAATTGTACGACGATCTTGATACATGTAACAATTGTATCCATACATACACACACACACCCACAAACACACACGCACACACTCAGGTATATTCATTTTTTCTGAGGTATGTCACGTTGTTCGAAACGTGAAGATATGCAAAAATTTTCATTTTTCGATTTTTTTGCGATTACTATAACTCATCCTACTTTTATTTTTTATTACCCCAAGTTAATAAAAGTGTAAAATTTTTGTCCACGTTTTGGCTTATAATTTTTAATTGTTTTTTAAATATTTAAATACTGTTGAAAAGATATTGATGGATCGGTTTTTTATTATTAAATGTTTATTTTTTATACGATTTTGATGAAACTTTGTACAACGATAGATTTTGTAGTCTGAAAGTATATAATAAAATATTACAGGCCTAAGATAGGCGGCTGAATTACAAAAAATAATAAAAGTTTTTTAATCAAAATTCTTTGGAATTTCGTAGGAGGAACTGAAATGTATTGAATAAACTAGTGGTACATGGCATCGTGCCTTAAGGCAAATTGCTGGAACTTAGGGTACTGAAAACTAAATTATTAAAAACAACTTTGCAAAACTTTGAAATAAATAGATTTTTGAGAAATTGTGAAATTTTTGAAAAAAATCGACTTTTTTTAGAAATCCGACTTTTTTTATTTTGATTTTTTTATATCTTGATTCATTTTGAAAATTTCGAACATTTTTTTAAGCAGTCACGCTGCTAATTTGGAGTCGAAATATCGAAGCGCGTAAGCGCTGCGTCGCCTTCTAATGGACAAACGATGTTACAAAACCAATAAAAATGTAAACAAAATTGACACACATTATTAAAATCTTCATAATATATCTGATAATTTCATGTGCATATGTCTAATGATCATTTTTGGCCGCCAAATGGCATTTTTTTCACTTATTTTACTAAATCTCCGAAACCGCTAGACCTACCTTCCTAAAAATAAGTTCTTCATGTTGCCAAGACAAGTAAAATACTTTTTAAATTATTAAAATCGGATACTCCCATCTTTTAAAAACAAAATTACCGTTTTTGGCATTTTGCCCCGTATCTTCGGAACGGTTAGACCCGCCTTTGCCAAAAACTAATCAGCACGTCTCCTTATCAATACGAATTGAATGATTTTTTAATTATTCAAATCGGTTGATGCCTGTTCCCGAAATCATCTACGAAAATTTGTATCCGCACGCGCACACACATACACACACACATACATCCATTTTTCTAAAGTATGCCAAAATGTTCAGAAACCTTTGAAACGTAAAGATATGCAAAATATTCCATTTTCGTTTTTTTTTTGCTATTACTATAACTCGTCCTACCGGAATTTAATCAATTTATACAATTACAGAAATTATAAGTATATGTTTGAAAAACATCAATTGGAAACGTTTCAACAATTTTTAGGGAAAGCAAAAAAGTTATTTTTGAAATTAACAGTTTAAAAATTTACCCAAATAGCTGAATGTCAATTCTTATTGATTATGTTAATTATATACACGTAATGGGAAGTTCATGCAACTTGCCTTAAGATTAAAAGCTACTTACAACTAGATTTTAGGACCGATTCTGCCACATAACTGATCAATGGTATGGCAAGGCTATGTTATGAAGAACTTTCCATACAAATTCGTTCTATATATCGACAAAAGCCAAGTGGTTGGTATGCAGTCAGGCGATAACAGCATGTTTCTGACTCTGGTTCATAACATACGAGTGATGTTGCAGTTTATGTGTGAAACGCTTGAATGCACAGAAAATACATGATATTTTGACAGTATTCAGTACGATTCAGTAGCATAACGTATGGAAGTTGGAGCGTAACATCGCCTTGCCATAACATTTGTCTGTTATGCGGCAGAATCGGTCCCTGTATTTTCTTCATTTTCCAGAGAGACAAAAGATAGCTCAAACAAAATGTTTTCCTCCCCTGACCCAGACAATAGTACCTCGTCTCCACTACCAAATATCGTTTTAAACAAGCTCGTTTGCTAATTTTGATTTCTCTCCTAACAACTCGGTTGATGCTTTCAAATGCGATTCTGTGACATAAATTCTAATTGCGGTTATTCATATGTGGATTAGCAAAGATCTTTTATCAAGTTTGAGACAAGACACATGAATGGAAATTATACCATTGTTTATACAAATTTAAATTAATGCCACCTGCTGATTTATAACCAAAATTGAAAATAAATATTGTAAGAATATCTTTATTAATTTAAATTATTATCTGCCTAAAACACATCTAAAATATTCGAAAAACCTGAACATAAAAAGTGAATTTCAATTATATTTACTATTGTATACTGTTCCATTTGAAATAGTCCTGTATTACGTGACATGTTACAATAAAATAAGAAAAGTAAGCGAAAACACGAACATTATGAATACTGATGAAATAAATGCAAGGTAATAATATATTTTCCTTGTTTCATGATAATGTGGTAGGACTATCAATGTTACTTAGCATGACTTTTTGATTTATTAGTTACGTCAATATTGATCAAGCATTAAATATATTTGCTATCATAGTTAATCAATATATTTTCTTGGCAAAAATTGAAGAAAATAATTGGAGAAGAAAAATTAAGAAGAATACAGAAATGAATATATATAAATATAGATTGAAGGTGATATAAAAAATAGTATATAATGTAAATAAATAAATTGTTGTAGGTGGATAAATACTCATAGTAAGCGAGGCCAAATAAAATTACATAAAAACTATTGGAGTATTTTTTGTGTTATACTTTTGTACTTTGTATAAGAACTAAAAACCTGTTAAAATCGGTTTCTGGAAAAATTACGATTTAAACAACGTAATGTTTTCTAAAATGTCGGTTTTTGTATAAACCCTACTTCTAATCCTTCCAAAGATTTTGCGTTCAAAAACAATATTCTGCACGTAGATAATAATTGTAGTTTGTTTTATTACCAGTACTGTATACTAATTTTTTCGAAGTAAAACTTCTTTAAGCGCGACTAAGGTGTAAATCCGTACAAATGCAACGGAAGTGCGTTACGGCAGTTAAGAGTCAAGTGCCAATGATTCGTCATTTGTCATATTAATCGTCGCGTATGTAAATAGAGATCTGTCGTTGTATGCGTACCGGCATCAACGTTGTATGCGTACCGGCATCAACGTTGTATACGTACCGATACCAACAAAGAAAACGACATAGATAAATATTTTAAAGTTACATTATAGTACAAATCTTGATTTGATGAAAAATGCCTGAATCAGAAAAATAATTTACCCTGGTCCTAAAAAATTATTTCTATATTATTCGTAGATTCTATAAATTTTTGAAGTTATTAAAATGAAAAATATTTTTAGGCAAGACAGATATTACAGCTATTCAAAGAATGAGAAAATATCGCAGAAAAGTAAAAAAATACAAGCAGTCAATGAATGTATGTTAATTTTAATTACTTGAAGTTCTTCAAACGCAATTACATGATGAGTGAAGTTGCGAAAACAATATTTATTTACGCTTTGTTTACCATAATCCACTTTGTGAACGATCATTATAGAATTTATTAATCAGCAATTACTTCATTTCTCAAATGAAGGTTCATTTCTAA